GAGTTGATTTATAATAATGTCCAATCCAAGAACATCCTCCTCAAACTTTGGAAGCTGATTTATAATAATGTCCAATCCCAGAACATCCTCCTCAAGCTTTGAAGTTGGCTTGAATAATGTCCAATCCCAGAACATCTTCCTCAAACTTTGGAAACTTATTTAGAATAATGTCCAATCCTAGAACATTCTCCTCAAACTTTGAAGTTGATTTAGAATAATGTCCAATCCTAGAACATCCTCCTCAAACTTTGGAAGCTGATTTAGAATAATGTCCAATCCCAGAACATCCTCTTCAAGGTTTGAAGTTGATTTAGAATAATGTCCAATCCCAGAACATCCTCTTCAAGGTTTGAAGTTGATTTAGAATAATGTCCAATCCCAGAACATCCTCCCCAAACTTTGAAGCTGATTTAAAATAATGTCCAATCCCAATTATTTTATTGTTTGTATTCTTACATTGTTGATTACATTATTTTTACTTTTGGTTTTGTTTGTTTTGAATTTCGCGCAAAGATACACGAGGGCTATCTGTGCTAGCCGTCCCTAATTTAACAGGCCACCACCTACCGCCAACTCTTGTACCAACAAATAGTGGGAATGACCTTCACTTATAACGTCCCCACGGATGAAAGAACGAGCATGTTTGAAAGGATGGGTATTCGAATCCGCGACCATCAGATTGCGTGTCGAACGCTCCTAACCACTATTTTCACTTTTAGTATGATACTGACATATCTAAAATTGTTCATGTTGGTGTTTGGAGGTTTACATGCAACTGTTCTTTCATTTTTATATTTTAAATTCAACTGTCACTCTCTCTCCTGCATTGCTTGGGGTAATAATATTCCATATTTTTGTTTTAAGTAGATGTTTTCGTGAAATTATACTACGCTGACACCTAACCTGCGTTATTTTTGAAATAACCAGAATCTCAGACCACTGATCGGTATTTAAGAAGTCTAAATGTTAGTAAATCAACAACATTCACATTCCAAATAACTTATTTTCCCATTTTGTTTCCATACAGGTTTTTATATCTGCTGGGGATGTATTGTTTTCGTACCCACGTTTTATACATTAACAAGCATGTACATGGTGGAAAACGCGCCATCTATTAACGTGGAGCTGGCCGTGGCCATATTCGTTACAGGTCTCCTAATGGTGGGTTTAAACTACTGGGCTGATTACCAAAGAAAAATTGCTCGAGAAACAGACGGAAAGTGTTGCTTGTGGGGAAAGCCAGCGAGAGTGGTGCGAGCCAGTTACGTGGACGCCCAGGGGAAATCCCAAAAGAGTCTTCCTTTTGGCCTCTGGGTTTTGGGGCTTAAGTCGACATATCAATTATGTGTTTGAAATTCTTGCCGCTCTTTCGTGGGAAGTTCCTGCAAGTTTTGAAAGTTTTCTTCCTTACCTTTACGTCTCCTTTCTCCTAATCTTGTTAATTCATCGGAGTTTTCGCGATGAAGAGAAATGCCGCCGGAAGTATGGGCATTTTTGGGAGGCATACTCTCACATATCAAGATATCAGCTTTTACCGGGCATATTCTAATCACTGAACAGATTCGCTAACGTGGCAACAAATATTGCGCTTTTCATCAAATAGTCGTCACTGGTGGTTTCACTAGGGTATTAAAAAAAGCTTTAAACGTAGGTTTTTGTATGCAACAATTGGTCATCCAAGATCTCTGTAAGTTCAAACTAAACACTAAGTTACGCGACTAACTCATCTTTATCTTATCTTTTCTACATATTTGTTCATTCAGTTGAAAAATTCTTTGGTTCACAAGAACACCTTCCGATTTTTTTAAAGTCTCAGTTCCCATTATTAATGTATTTACCTAACACGCTGAAAAATTATTTTATAATCATGCGTTTTTATCATTATGAGTGATTCTGAGTTGGAGACTCGGTTAAAATACTTAAAGTTAAAAATAGGCTTAAAATTATTATTATTTTTTAAATGTTTATATATACATAGTCCACCAGATCTTCATCATTTAAACCTAAATGACCAAAAGCGGGAAATACCAGAGTCAATCACTTTTCATCATTATTTTTTTTTTTTGGTTGACAGTTATACAACGAACTGGTTCATATATAACTAGTCTTAATGAGCATGAACTAAAAAAATACACTAGTTTAACTATTTTGTTCAAATATTTCGTATGTCTTTAATTATTTTACAACAACGAACGGTTTCATTATTGATTAGAAATAGTTATTTATAAAGAGATGGTACTGAAATAAAAGTTTATTATATACGAGTATAAAAATATTTACATAATCATTAGTTTATTTTTTTTATTTTATTTATATAGGGTAACGCCCTATGTAACTTCTAAGACGTTTGTTTTTTTTTAGCGGTGTGCGATTGAAAACGATCTCTTAATTAAGCACGATATTATTATCTTCTTACAGACGTTTATTATGACATATAAAAAAAATGTCCAATTCTAAACATTTTCTTATACACTTGGTGAATATCCTGAAATTATTCGACCTTTATATTGTAAATATATCATAGTTTTTGTGTTCAAACACAATAATAACGTTGATGGTACTAGCTTTGAATCTCGAGTGAATTACACCTATTTGGAGTCTTGTGGTGGATAACGCTTCGGTCGCTTTGTTTGTTTGTAGTTAAGCACAAAGCTACACAATGGGCTATCTGTGCTCTGCCCATCACGGGTATCGAAACCCGGTTTCTAGCGTTATAAGTCCGCAGATGTACCGCTGTGCCACTGGGGAGGGGGGGGGGCGGCTTCGATCTCTATGCCGAGGCAGGCCAAATGGTTAGCTTGCCGGGTGTGTGTGTGTGTGTCGGAAGATTGAAATTTGGTACGTGAAGTACGAATCCAGTTGAGCACATCCACTGAAAATATGTGATAGTTTGGATTACCACAGTCCGAGCTACAGAAAGTTGAAATTTGCTAAACTTTCACATTATGTCCTGCAAGTTGTTTTGGCAGTGTTTCAATCCCTCTATTCGATTTGAGCAGCGAATGTTACCGACTGCTTGTTCTCCCTTTGGTGAACAGTTCCATATTAAGAACTAGATGTTTAGCCATCAAGACTCTAGAAGATGCATTTCGTTGATGGAGATTCAACCTAGTACTTCTATTAAACGCCAAGGACACCGAAATCCTTCCAACCCGGTACTCTGGTATTAAACGAAAGACCTTGTCGGCAACAGCCTATAATGGCCAAACTGAAACGTTATAATCTGTTTAAAATAAAATGAAGAGCTTAATATAATTTCTTACTGACTGTTTTTATCGAGAAGTTTTAATACATCAGATACCCTAAAAGGCATAGCTTAGGTGTAGTACACATACGATAAGACATAGCTTAGATGTAGTACACATACGATAAGACATAGCTTAGATGTAGTACACATACGATAAGACATACCTTATATATAGTACACATACGATAAGACATAGCTTAGATGTAGTACACATACGATAAGACATAGCTTAGATGTAGTACACATACGATAAGACATAGCTTAGATGTAGTACACATACGATAAGACATAGCTTAGATATAGTACACATACGATAAGACATAGCTTAGATGTAGTACACATACGATAAGACATAGCTTAGATATAGTACACATACGATAAGACATGGCTTAGATGTAGTACACATACGATAAGACATAGCTTAGATGTAGTACACATACGATATGACATAGCTTAGATCTGGTACACATACGATTCGCCGATTCAGTGATTTCTTTACATGTACCACGTTGCTTTACATTCATGTCAGTTTTTGCCAATGAGCTTAAAAGTTAACGACAGACACAAATAATTTCTATAAAAACATTTTATTGATTAGTAAATATGCTGATGGCTATTTTAAGTTCAAATTACCTTTCATTGGCAATAATCTTATAAACACTTTTAATTTCAATACAACTTGTCGTAACTAATTTTTATATGTTAAATCCAAACGATCACTGTATAATTAGGCTTAAAATCCCGCGAGCTTTTGTAATCTCTTTATTGTATATGATATCTCATCAACACACACGTAGTATGGCCAACTCACTTAGTTACCGTACTGAAATCTTTCAATTATGTATGCGTTTGTGTGATTTATTCCTGAAATTTTGATTATGAAAATAAAATTTATGTATATAATTTATACGTTTTTGTTTAGTTGTTGCTGTTTACTGTCTGCAAAAAGATTTCTAATCGTGATTTTATGAGAAACAGTGAAATATTAACAGCGACCTACTTCCTTGATGGTTAAGATGGCGCTCCTTAAACTTGGTTCAGGTTTTCTCTTTTAATTCTTAATATAAACTTCTTCGAAAAGAAACAATAACTTTCAACGACAACTGAAGAGGGCGTTTTCATAGAGCCTACAGTTTTTCATTACGAAGTAACCAAAAGGTCAATTTGTTACTATTGAATTGTTTGATGTTTCATGCTAATTAAGACGTGGAGTTGAGTTTTTGGATTAAACCACGTAGTATTTACGATGGTTAACTCAGTGTTCAAAGGATTGTTAGGCCTACATAACATGTGGATAACTCAGTGTTCAAAGGATCGTTAGGCCTACATAACATGTACGTCGTGAATGTGCTAAATGTCAGCATTTATATTTGTATACCGTTCACAAAACCAAACATCATATTAGATCAAAACTCCTCGTGGTCTCGAATACGTTTATTTTGAGAGGTTGGTCAGGTGTGGCTCAGTAATTAGCATGCCCAAACCGTGAATCCACAATTCATGGTTCGAGTATCGTTGAGGCAAAAAAGTGCTCCAATTTGGGAGCAGTGAGTACACTATAAGAGTGACGGTCAAACCCCACTATTCGGCCATACAGGAGTAGCCCAAGAGTTAGTGGTGAGTGCTGTTGGCTAGCTCCTTCCCCTCTACCAGTTCAAAATGAGGGATCGTGTTGAGGGGAGATAATGGAGGTTTTTGTAATGAAACCTCCCGAACGTTATTGAAAGGTGACAGGATATTAGCCATTAGGAAACAATAAGCCAAAAGTGGTTGGAAAGTTCTATCAAAATTTTCAATCGCCCATTTGTAAAGCTTTAAATGAAATTAGGTTTTTGAAATTAAAATATTATTCAGTGCACATTTATTTTATAAATACTTTTGTTAACCCTACATTTTAAATCACATTACATTAATAGTATTATCAGAACGGTTCAAAATTTTATGATGGACCAACAGACGACAATACTATCATTACAAGTAATGATTGGTGAAGAACAATTAAAAAACAATGTTATTATTGTTTAAGGAGCTATTATAACAAAAAGTAAGGAATAACTTATATCAATTAATATTGCAATATCAACTATCATTGGTTAACACCAGTACTTATATTATACCAGTAATACAGAATATCATTGGTTAACACCAGTACTTATATTATACCAGTAATACAGAATATCATTGGTTAACATCAGTACTTATGTTATACTAGTAATACAGTCTATCATTGGTTAACACCAGTACTTATATTATACCAGTAATACAGAATATCATTGGTTAACATCAGTACTTATATTATACCAGTAATACAGTCTATCATTGGTTAACACCAGTACTTATATTATACCGGTAATACAGAATATCATTGGTTAATACCAGTACTGATATTATACCAGTAATACAGAATATCATTGGTTAATACCAGTACTTATATTATACCAGTAATACAGAATATCATTGGTTAACACCAGTACTTAT